GCTTAGTAGGTCAAGCATCCAACTCTTGACTTCAGCTCAGGTCATGATCTCATAGTTCATGCACAATATGGAGCTCTGAGCTGACAGTGCAGAGCCTGCTTGGGATTCTCTCTCCCTCCCTCCTTGCCCCTCCCCTCTCAATAAATAAATACACATTTAAAAAAATGAAAAAAAAACAAGAAGTTTTAAGGTAGGTAAATAACATGATCAACTTTAAATTTAAAATGAGAACGCCTACTGACATGAAGATAATACGTTATAGGTTTGGAAAGAGGTACACATGAATAGAAATTTAGAAAGAGAGTCAAGCATTTGTTATAAGGCTCCTGGGGATGATAATGTTGACTTGGGTTCAAGTGGAGAAGCTGGAGGTAGAGGGAAGGAGATACATTTAACAGTTGATAGCAGAAAGAAAATGGTATCTTCAACATAATTCATATTATGTGAGACAGATATGAGGGAATAACAGATGGGGCCAGATCAGGAAAGACTTTGTGATTTTTTTCTTTTAAGTTTTTGCTACTGGATCAATAGCCATGACGTTTTTGAATATTAGAGAATGTGGTTTAAGATGGAGTGATTACAGTGGCATTTTGAACATAGTAAGCGTTAGAGGCTTATGAGACATTTAAACAGTAATTTACACAAACTAATATTTAAGTCTGGAGCAATTAGTGTGGTTGGTCTTATAGATACTTAAGATAGCATTTTTTTCATCTAATTCAAGAATTTTTTTAAAAATTGTAAAAAACAAACAAACAAACAAAAAACCCTAACTTCTAATATGTTCCTCAATCTTCATCCTTTTCCACACAGGGACAACCCTCTGTTTCGAGATTCTAGCTTTTCTTTTATCCTCAAACATTACACTACAGAATATTGCTTCTGTGTCCCCACCTCCATGCCTCTTTATGACCTTATCTTCTTTGTTTACGACTTTTAATATTTTGTTCACAGCTTTCTGGCTCTGCATTGTCTCCCTTGGCAAACACATCAACTCTAAGCAAAAAAAAAAAAAAAAAAAAAAAAAAAAAAAAAAAAAAAAAATCTAAATTATATCAGCTCTTCCATTTCTGCTGGAATCTGATGTGTTGCTCATTATATCCTTCATACTAAAGAGCAAAAATACATTTTAAAAAGCAACCATTTAAAAGACAAACATCCTATTCATCCTCCAATTTGCTCTTTCAAAACTCCATATGCATTGTTGGCCAGTTTCTCTAAATACTTCCCCATCCTAAGCGTCTTCCTCTTCTACTTGCTTAGGTCAAGCTTTCTTTATCACTGGACTTGACTATTGCATCTGCCTTGCTTTCCCTATCATAATTCTCTCAGGTTAGCTGGTAGAAAAAATGGCAGTCGTTAAAGCTTTTTGCGTAATTAAGGTGTATAATCTGAGCCTTTTTTAAAAAAATAATAATTGAAAGATGCTTCAGCTTCATTTTCAGTGCATTCCACATTCAGGGCTATACCAATTTTCTGGCCATACTATCCTATCGGATACACAGTGAACATAATTTTCATCTCTGGCTGTCTGTGTCCTCATGTTGATTCTCCTGAGATGACTCCATTCTTTGTGTGTGAGAGGTGACATGTTATCTGAAGGAAGTTTGCTCATCCTTTGTAGCAGGGAGCCCCATGTGATCAGAAAATAGAAATAAAAGTAGTGTCAAATGAAGCTAACAAACGTGAATTTTGGAGTATTTAATAATGTCATCTCTGATCATACTCTAGGCATTTTCAATCTTCTTATGAATACTAATGAGTAACGTGGAGGGTAAAAAGTTGAGCTTTCATTAACACCAATGTTTCATGGCTAATAATAATAACCTTAAAAAGTATATATGGAAATAGTTTCCATGTACTTAGAGCCTTCTTTTACTATAAAATTATGAGGCAGAATTTTTTAAAAAGTAAATTTATTTTTGAACGTCTTATTTTGGGTCATGTGAGCTAAGGGCAACCCAGCAAGTGAACATTTTCTTCCTTGTTATAGAGGTTCTGTCCTATAAAACCAGGGAACTTGGAGTTTGCAGTTTGTTAAAGTCTCACTTCTACTTATGCAGCGTCTCTCCTCAAAGACAAGTTTTTCTTTATGAGTGAGATCTTCTCAACTATAATATTGGCACATTAGTTTTACTATGAGATAGTATATCTGTATGTTATCATATTCAATGGGAATTTTCTCAAGATAATTTGTGATTTTATATTCTCAAAAAGGAATGCCATTTGGAATTCTTTTTCTCACAGATTGTCAGGGGAAATATGCAGTTTTCTTTTAGCTAATATGGAAGAAATAAAACTATGGTATACATAAACTCAGTGAGCAAAAGTTATGACTTCAGTAGGGATATAACTTATTTAGGTACATAAGACATAACAATACCAGCCCTGATTTGGAAACATAATAGCCAGATCATATTTAACAACATGTATTCGCCCAAAGGCTACAAATCTTGGAAACAGATTAACGTATTATCTTATTGGATTATTCATAGTGTCGAGTGCCTTCCAAAATGGAAGTGAAGGAGCTCAGTTTGAGGTTGAGTTTTGGATCTTTCAAAAGCCATTATACAAAAACAAGACAAATATTTTCTACCCACCTCTAATGGAGAATCTGCTTCAGGCTCTTAGTGACAGTCTCTAAATGCGGTTCAATAAAATACCTAACTCTGAAGCACAGGTGATCCTAGAATCCACAAATTGCCTTTTATATCCTTGGGGAAGATGCCACTTGGAAATAGCTCCTTAACAAGACCTCCCTGCAGGAATTCAACCAGACATCCCTTGAGTGTTGTTTGTGGCACTAGGAACCTCCATTAATGAAGTGAGTTCAGTTCCCTGATATCTCAGGGACACAGTGATTAAAGTGTGTGTGTCAAGGGGCGCCTGGGTGGCGCAGTTGGTTAAGTGTCCGACTTCAGCCAGGTCACGATCTCGCGCTCCGTGAGTTCGAGCCCCGCGTCAGGCTCTGGGCTGATGGCTCAGAGCCTGGAGCCTGCTTCCGATTCTGTGTCTCCCTCTCTCTCTGCCCCTCCCCCGTTCATGCTCTGTCTCTCTCTGTCCCAAAAATAAATAAACGTTGAAAAAAAAATTAAAAAAAAATGCTAATATTAAAAAAAAAACAGTTATTGACCAAGAAAGATGCTGATGATGAATTATCAAGTAAGGAAAGTAAGTTGCAGAGGCATGGTGAATTATGATTTTTTAAAATACCGTTCTATAATGGATGGTATTGGAGAAAGCTATTAATATTATTTGATGTTACTTTTTGTTTTGTGGATAACAATGGAAATGAAAAAGACTGTGCAGTACAATATAAACTGTTATGCTAGAAAATAAAATGCGCTCATAACAACAAATAAGCTGATGGATAAGATCCAAAGTCAACATGGTAAACAAAGTTGATATCATCAGAGAACACAACTTTGTATTCATTTTATTGTATTGAATTTATGTTTTATTTTAGTCAGTTCACTTTATTTAAAAAATTAAAAAGTCTAGCTTTATTGAGATTATAATCAATAAAAACATTATATAAAACTAAACTATAAAACAATGGTTTGATATTTGTAATATATCATGGAATGATCGCTACAGTCAGGCTAATTATCATACCCATCACCTCACATAGTTATTTTTTCTATTTGTCGTGAGAAAATTTGAGATCAACTCTCTTAACAAAGTAAACTACATTAAAGGAGGAAAGTAAGCAAAATGCATGGATTTAGCACAAGGAAGGCATGGTTCATGTATTGATTTAATTTCCCACAATTTTAACTTTTAATACGAGGGCAGATTGAAACAAACACTAGTGAGGTAGTGTACATATTTTAAAAGTCTAAAAAATATCCATGAAATAACAAAGATAATACGAAAATGTAAGGAGTCCATCCATTCGCTGAGTGAGTGCACAATGTTAATGAAGCATCTCGTTAGCATAGTCCGTGCAAAAGCATCACTGTATATACAGGCTGAGGAAGGGGACCAAATAGACAGGAAAGTTTCACAGGCGCCTGGGTGGCTCAGTCAGTTAAGCATCCTACTTGATCTCAGCTCAGGTCATAACCTCATGGTTTATGAGTTTGAACCCTACCTGCATAAGGAACATGGAGCCTGCTTGGCTCTTTCTCCCTCTTTCTCTGCCCCAACTTCACTCATGCTCTCTCTCTCTCTCTCTCTCTCTCTCTCTCTCTCAAATATAAAAAATAAATAAACTTAAAAAATAGCCTTATTTATCTTTAATCTTTGCTATTACTGCTATAGATTTTTCAAAATCTTGATGTCATTTTGATAGACGACCAAATAACTCCTTGATCTTGAGTTTGTTGATTCTAAATCAGCTTATCAGGAGCCTATGGTAAATCAAAGTTACTTATACAGTATGAGGACCTGTCAAGGGGGACCAAAAATCAGCCAATATTTTTCTCATGTTCTTAATGAAACAATCTTCCCAGATGACCCCTGTATCCTTGAAATAGAAAATATGAACTCAAGCCAACTGATAATATCATTCTGAAGTGTTATGCTTTCTTATTTAGCCTAGATTCTTGAAACGATTTGATCATGTTGTGTTATAATCACACATTTACTTACTTTCTTGCCTCCTGCCTAGCATACACAATCTTACCTATCATCAATACAAAATCACTACTATAAAAAACACATTAGTATTTTCTGGTAAGTTTTATTCCATTTTGACTAAGATTTTTTTTAACCTCTACAAACCCAAGTTCAATATGATTTGCCTACAACCTCCAATATGACCTTGGACATAACTTGGAACTTAAATTATCTGGCTATAATATTAATTAATTCATTCGTTCATTTATTCAATTGGGATGGAGAAGAATACAGGAAGATATAGGAGGAGTTTTGTCCAAAAAAGGAGGAACGCGATCAATTAGGTAAAACATTTCTACTTTTTGATGCTATAATTGAACTGGCAGAGCATTAAACAAAGACTTTTGGACCCACCTTTGCAACTGAACTGTATGATATTAAGTGGAAATTTTGCATCGGTTGGTTAAAATTCTCTTCAGAGCATCTTTTACTTCTTTGTTCCTTAAGCTGTAGATCAATGGATTCAGCATAGGGATCACCAAGGTGTAAAACACAGAGGCCATCTTATCAATATCAAAAGTATGGCTGGATTTGGGCTGCAGGTAAATAAACAATAATGTCCCATAGAACACGACCACCACCGTCAAGTGGGAACTACAGGTTGAGAAGGCTTTGTATCTCCCCTCGGTTGAGTTCATTCTGAGGATGGCCACAAGAATAAACATGTAGGATATAAGAACAATCAAGAGGGAAGAAAGCAGATTACAGCCTGAAAAACTTAAAATGATCAATTCTAATTCATGTGTGTCTGAACAGAGCATGGATATGAGAGGAAGGCAGTCACAGTAAAAATAACTGATAATGTTGGAGCCACAGAAGGACAATTTAAATAATTTGATTGTGAGAAAGAGTGACACAAATGTGCTGTAGAAATAAGGAATAAGGACCAGCGCCCAACGCACCTTCTCTGCCATGATGACCACATAGAGGAGAGGTTTGCAGATGGCTACGTAGCGATCATAGGCCATTGCTGAAAGAATGAACAGTTGGGTGATGATGAAAATCTCAAAGACTGCCAGCTGGGTGGCACACCAATGGTAGGAAATTGTATTTTTGTGCACCACAAAGTTTACCATCATTTTTGGGCCGATGACAGTGGAGTAACCAAGATCAGTAATTGACAGATGTCTAAGGAAAAAGTACATGGGGGTATTTAGCTTGGAGTCCAAATGGGTCAAGATAACTATGCCCAGATTGCCTGTCACTGTGATCAAATATATGATAAGGAAGATTGCAAGGAGAGGTGCTTGCAGCCCAGGGTTGCTGGTGATCCCCAGGAGAATAAATTCAGTCACCTCAATCAATGCAGAATGATTCTGTTTCTCCATAGGATTCATCTTGGTAACCTGTGTAAGGTACAAAATCACTATGTATTATATTTGAGAGGCTATCTTTTAAAAGAATTTAAAATACTGTGCATGAGATAGAGATATACTCTCTTTACCTTGAAACATAAATGAAAACTCCTCTTCCCCTCAGGCCCAAACTACACACACCTACACTCACATTGTAGTGCAAATGCCTAACAATCAGCTTTTTTAATTGTAATGTATTATAACGTAAATCTCTGAGATTAAGCTTTTGATTGCCAAAGCATTGATTTCAAAAACATCCCTCTCAGATAAGCACGTTGCCAGGTACACAACTAGGGAAAGATCAGACCACCTCACTCGTGAAGTCCCCCTTTTGGAAGGCCCTGGGTGACCTAGAGGGCCTACTGCTGGAGGTACCCTGCATTTCCCTTCCCAAGCTTTAATTCCTGCCTCCTAGGTTTTAAATTCACGGATGACGAGCAAACCCATGAAACTGCAGACATCCCATCCTTGACCCCAATCAAGGCAGAACTCCAAGTCCTTTCCCCCACCTCTCTGAGACCAAGAATAGCATGGGTCCCTGGGCATTCCTAATTGATAGCTTCACTTTGATAGACTGAGACCCACACACAACACATAGTGATGGAAACTTAATTTTTTAATGTTTATTTATTTATTTATTTAATTTTACAAATATTTTTTAATGTTTTTAATGTTTTATTAAACGTAATGTTTAATGTTTTTATTTTTGAGAGAGAGACAGACAGAGCGTGAGCAGGGGAGGGGCAGAAAGAGAGGGAGACACAGAATCTGAAGCAGGCTCCAGGCTCTGAGCTGTCAGCACAGAGTCTGACCTGGGGCTCAAACTCACAAACCCTGAGATCATGACCGGAGCCGAGGTCAGATGCTCAACTGACTGAGCCACACAGGCACCCCAATGTTTACTTATTTTTGAGAGAGGCAGACAGAGCATGAGCGGGGGAGGGGCAGAGAGGGGGGGGGGGAGACCCAGAATCTGAAACAGGCTGCAGGCTCTGAGCTGTCAGCACAGAGCCTGACTTGGGGATCGAACTCAGGAAAGGTGAGCTCATGACCTGAGCTGAAGGTGGACGCTTAACCGACTGAACCACCCGGCACCCCTATATGTCTGCTAAAATTCTGAAGCCCAGAAAACAAACATATACACCTCAACCATAAGCTTTACCTTATTGACAATGATCATATCTGTTTAAAATAACAAGACATTAAAAAAACTTTTCAAATGGTTGACGGAGTGATGCAAAAGGTGATGTTCAGGAAACCTTTGACATTAAATATATATCTCAATATTCTCACATTACTGCTCAGTCTATTTACCCTCTACAAAATCTAATGCTGTACTATATTAATTTCAGAATATTGTTATTTGTATCATGTCCACGTTTGCCACATCTGGTATTTCTGCCTGGCGAATCACTTATACTAATGATCCTCCAATCATACACTCCTTTTGCACTAAAAGGGATTTGGCCAATCTAATTATTTATGAATTCTTCATAGAGATACATCTAAAGAGGCCCAGTGGAAAGAAGAATACAAATGGATATCAAGCACTGATGGAGAACTCATTACGTGCCTGACACTTTTCTGAGCACTTTACATAGATTAACTCATATGATGCATACAGTAATTCTAGAAAATCGATGGTAGGACCGTATCCATGTGAACGTCAAGGAAATGACTTAACTAAGGTCACTCAGATAATAAGTGGTGGGGTCAAAATTAAAAAAAAGTTATTCTGTCTTCAGAGTATATTCTCATAAACACAATAGGAGTCTTTCTCTCTATTAAGGTCACCCTGAGTCAGTAGGAAATGAATAGTTGAACAAGAGGAACATGAGGTAAATAAGGATACAGGAAGATTCTTGTTAAAACAAATGACAAAAGCAGTTATTTGACAACAAAGGTGATCTAATAGCACAGCTCAGAGTACCAGAGAGTATATAATAGATCTGTCCTACACATTAATCATATTGATGGCAGAAAAGTATATTGCAAAGGAAAAAGCAATTTTGCAGAGCATAATGCCCTTCAAGGCTTTGGTGATGACCCAGTTTAAGCTGTACGTCCTGACATTTTCCAAGACCAGTGTTTTCTACTTACCTTACTGGAGAATCAACTTTGACTTCCTATTGTTTTAATCCTCACTGGTTGCTGCAGAATGTATTTAAACATTTCCCTGCCCCCTTGAGACTCATTCTGTTAAAGTTTTAATCCAACTCCAGAATTAAAAAAAAAAATGCATGTAATTACTTGAGCGAGAGTACCATGGGTCTCTGAAATTATTCCTGGAGTATCCCATTGAGAAAGATCAGAAGTGTTTTGTATGGGTGTCTAACTGAATAAATTATACAATATCATTGAACACTGGGAATCATAAAGATGCTCAGCATTTCAGTTCATGCACATATTAGTTATATTACACACATACTCTCTCTCTCTCTCTCTCACACACACACACACACACACACACACACACACACAACTATGCAAGGGTAAATGAAAGAATGACTTCCTAGAAAAAGATAATGCGATATTGGATAGTACAGCATCCATTATCCAAATATACTGTTACTAGATATATAATTATGGGCTAACATAAGGCAATGTTTTGTGACTTATATTGTTTCTGCCAATGCATCAGTGGTAAATCTTTTCTTTCCCTGTTCATGAAGTATCTTTCATCTCTGTTTTTAAGGATTTCTCATTATCATTGGGTTTTGGAAATTTTATTGTAATGTGGGTATACTTTCCTTTCTGTTTACCCTGCTTAGAATATTTTTAGCTTCTTAAATCTTTGGGATTGTAGTTAATGTTTTATAATGAATTTGGAAAAAAAAACATTCTGCCCAACATCTCTTGCAATGGGTTTTCTGTTCCACATTCTCTCTTTTTTCTTCTTAGACCTACATTTAAATGTATAGTGTACAGCTTGTTATTGTTCTGGAGATCACTTAGACAATTTTCAAAGTGTTTATTTAATTTTTGTTTTCCCTCTGGCTTCATTTTGGGTAGCCTCTATTGTGATATGCTTAAGTGAAGTTATTTCTTTTTCAGCTGTTGTTACTTTCGTCCAATTTATGTGTTTGCGTCTAATATAGTATTTTAATTTATAGAAGTTCCCTTTGGTCATCTTTAAATCTTTCATTTGTGTCCTCAAAAGGTGAGTGTTTTTATTAAATTATTCAATACATTGAGCATATGTTTTCATATGTTATAAAGTCCTTGCCTGGTAATTCTATCATCACTGTCATTTTAGAACCTATTTTAATTATTTCCTGGGTAGGATCACATGTTTCTTTCTTCACATGCCTTCACTCATATCTAGTACTTGTGATTGGATGCTGAATATTGTGAATTGTCTGTTAATGAAGACTATATATTTTTTATCTTCCTAAGATAATGCTAAGTTATAAACACTGTTAAACAATGTTCATAATGTTGTAAACAAGTATTACTTGGCTTTTTTTGAGATTTGTTTTCAAACTATATGAACAGGAATCTGAAGTAGTTTTTACCTCAGATCTCTACTGGATGCCTAGGTGTTAAACATGAATTCCACACTCTGGCTTTCGGAAATTTTCATGTCTTCCTGCCTTATGTGACCCTGGAATTGTTCAGCTCATAATTCCATGCTCGTTCTTTTAATCACTTGTGGACTTTTACTATAAACATTCCTAAGTTAGTGTTGAGCCATAAACTCAAGAAGACCTTGTAATGTAATTACTTTAAATGTAAATAAATTCAATTCTCCAAAGGTAGGAATTGGGGGAATGGATTTTTAAGGAATCATGATCCAACTATACATTATCTGCAAAAGATTCACTTTGTTTATACTTTGTTGTGGGTTCAGAAAATACAGAGTAAATAAGATTGTGAAGATACCTACCCCCTATCCCCTTCGCCCCCCCCCAAAAAAAAAACTTGAAAGAAACAAACACACACTTAGTTTACTGATGCAGCATTTAATAAGGTTTCCAGTGGGAATAATGTAAAGTTCTATGGGATAACTAAAATAAACTTTGAATCAAAAGCAGGGAATGTTTTAGGTGAGTGCATTTAATTAAGATCCAAAATATGAACTGAATATATATATAAGTATATTGGTTAAATAGAAGAGATTGCTTTGTACGTGATAATTAGTCTTTGTTCTGGAGTCAAAAAGAATTAGATACATTATCAAGTGACATTTGCCTTTATCATTGTTTATTAGAACATTATTCCATGTTGAATATTAGATACAAAGTTTGTGCTGATTCCTAAAGACCCTGCGGAAGGCAATTTTTACCTCTTTGTTTCTTAAGCTGTAGATCAAGGGGTTTAGCATGGGGATCACTAATGTGTAAAACACAGAAGCCATTTTATCAGTATCAAAGGAGTGGGCAGATTTGGGCTGCATGTACATAAATAGTAGAGATCCATAGAACACAATCACCACTGTCAAATGAGACCCACACGTGGAGAAAGCTTTTTTCCTACCCTCTGCAGAATGCATTTGAAATATGGATATCAGAATTAGTATGTAAGACACGAGGACTACCAGCAGGGAAGAGATCAAATTAAATGCTGAAAATAGTATGATCAACAATTCTATTTCTTGTGCATTTGAGCAGAGCATAAGTAACAAGGCAACATCGTCACAGTAGAAATGACTGATGACATTAGAACCACAGAAGGTCAATGTGAAAATTTTAATAGTGAACATTAGAGCCTGAAAGGTACTGTAGAGGTATGGAATGCCCACTAGCATGTGACAAAGTCTCTGTGACATAATAACATTGTAGAGCAGAGGGTTACAGATGGCCAAATAGCGGTCATAGGCCATGGCCGACAAGATGAAAAATTCACTAATGATGAACATAAGGAAGAAAGCCAACTGTGTGGCACATGCATAATAAGAAATGGCATTTTGATCCACAACAAAATTTACCAGCATCTTGGGACAAATGACAGTAGAATTACCAAGATCAATGAAAGCCAGATGT